TATATTTTATTCAAAAATAAAAACATTATCACTTTCTCAAAATCACATWAARBCRTATTATRATATYGACTGAGATAAAGAAGAAAATGAAATATTAAAATCATGATGCACCTCGCTGCATTGCGCGAGTACGCTTCTAGTATATATATATATATATATATATAGAGAGAGAGAGAGAGAGAGAGGGGGGGGGGAAGTTTCGTTACAAACCACGTTATTTATATAAACCTCTTTCAACTAATCATAATTTTTTATTTTGTTATTTTTTTTGTAATTATGAGAGGTTTATTAATCATTTTTATTATGGAGGGTGTTAATCATGTATATTATCATCTTCATTATTTTAATTTTAAAGAAATACATKAAACAGTTTTATTAAAATTTCATTAAGTATTATATGAAACAATTTCATAATCATATATGAAACAACTTCATCAAAAAAATATTATATGAAACAATTTCATAATTTTTTTTTCCCTAAAATTAAACAATGAAATCGACGAATAATAATAATTTACACGATTTATACAAATTAGATAATTTATATTTGATCGTTCCCCCTCTCTCTCTCTCTCTCTCTCTCTCTCTCTCTTTATATATTTAAAAAGGAATTACTATTAACTATGGGCGTGATTTACAACAGACTTGAAGAGAAAGGTGGGGTTGCTTTTTTGACTTGGTAACAACAACCAAGAGCAATCTTCACAAATTTTCTTTTAAGATAACAAGTGAAAGTTAAATCTCCAAAAATAAATTACCTTGGTCTCCAATACAATTTTTTTTATAAAATTACACTATTAATTATATTTTTAAAATATTTAATATAATTTAAAAAATGTCATTTCTGTCTCCTAAATATTTAATTTCAAGCAAAACTCAGTGGTAGAAATAAATCAAATAATTTTATCTTTAAGTAATTAAGTAATCATTTTTTAAGAGTTCTTCAAATTTAAAAATTCATATCATCCCTCTCGTACTTTTTTTTAATTTTAGAGAAGATTTTAAGATTTAGTTAAAAAAAAAAATTCTCAAAATCTCTATTTTAGAAAATCTGTTGATGATACACGACTTTGACTTCACATATAAATTCCAAAAAGGTTGTTTTAAAAGAGCATCAAAAGACTTGTTCTTTTTCATGGTTTTCCTCGTAAAAATAGCCTTTTTCCATGATGTCATGCCCATTGCCCCGTATGATATGGCCTTCTTTAAATAAAAGAATCACAACGTAATAAACCTCTTCGAAACCCGTGCCCATTTTCTTGTAAAGTGAATTTTTCCTCGGTTTTTTTCCTATTTTCGTTTGAGTCCCCATTTCACAAATTTTTTTGTTTTGAAAAGTTGTGGTGCCAATATTAGTCGTGTCGACAACGGATATTTTATTATCCTACCAATTTAAAATACTAAGTAGCGAAACTAGCAGTTATTCATGTTATAAAACTCTAGTTTAATTCATATTCATACCACACCTATCGAAATAGTGGGTAACGAAACGGGTAATAAATAAATAGAAAAATTATTTTGAACTACATATAATATTGTTAAAAATTAAATATATAAGGAAAATATAAATTTATAAATACAACAATTATATTATATTATATTTATTTTAGTAAATATTGTAATATTATTCTAAATATAATTATAATGTAATATTTTAAAAACAATAATATAAAAATTGAAAGGTGACACTTTTTCGTTGCATTTATTTTTTCAATCTCATCTTATTTCTCATTCAATCATGAATTTTTCACTCGATAAATATAAAGAAGAAAATTAAATAATACATTAATATACAACAACATTATAGAAAAAATATTAATATTTAATTTTATACATCTATATATATATATATATACACACACACACATATATATCTCCAAAGGTTATTTTGAGAAGTAAATAAATAATTCTAGACCTTCATCCAGTCAAGATTGGATTTGACTGGTCAAAAATTACGGCTAT